TGGTATCCCAAAGGAGCAAAGTTTGAGCTAGTTGGTTACTCCGACTCAGATTATGCAGGATGCAAGGTTGAAAGGAAGAGCACCTCGGGCACTTGTCAACTATTGGGAAGATCATTTGTTTTATGGTCACCAAAGAAGCAAAATAGTGTTGCATTATCAATCACCAAAGCCGAATATATATCCGCCGGTAGTTGTGCATAAATTTTTTGGATGAAGGCCATGTTGAATGACTTTGGAATCAAATTCAAGAAAGTGCTATTGCTATGTGACAATGAGAGTGTTATCAAGCTCACCAACAATCCGGTTCAACATGCAAGAACAAAGCACAATGATGTCCGCCACCGTTTCATCAGAGATCATCAATAAAAAGGGGACATTTGCATTGAGAGTGTGGGCACCGAAGATCAACTAGCTGACACATTCACCAAGTCATTGGATGAGAAGAGGTTTTGCAAGCTAAGGTATGAGTTAAACATATTGGATTTCTTAAATATGTGTTGATGCACCCCCCACTTATATGGCATGCCTCTCTTTCGAGCAATCCAAAGTAAAAGTTGATTGGCATGCATACATCCTTTACTAAGGGCTTGTTTAGTGCATCTAGTTATTCCTCATGTCTTATAGGCTCATTCATGAAAATCAAATGAATTTGATGCTTGTATGGTACCACTATTGCTTCTATGCTTGACTTGATCTAGTGGTAGCATATGACATGTTTGTGGGCTTGTGAACCTAGTGTTTGATCTAGAAAATGAGCTATAAGTGTTTAACCCAACATGGTACAAGATAACCCTTGAAATGAGGTGTGAAGAAGCTTGTCCTTGGATCAAACCGAGTTAAATATCTTTGGCAAGTGTTCTAGATTGAACCAAATTTAGGAAAATGATCCTCACCCCATTGATTCACATTTATAATCTTAACCTATCTAATATTGAACCTTTGTGGTCATTGATGACAAAGGGGGAGAAATTGCACAAAGATAAGGTTAAATATGACAAAGAGGGAGAACTTTGACAAAGGGAGAGTAATATGAAAGTAAGGGGATCAATTAAAATTTGAGCACACAAGTAGGGGAGCAAGCTCATAAACTTGATTGATACATTTAAATGTGCATGTCATATGTTTGCTTGCATGGCACAAGTTTTAAATTAAAATTCCATGCTTGTGTGATGTATGCTAGTTGTAGGTTTGAATGATGAAATGAAAAACAAGCATGCATAGGTTGAGCAACTAGACTTGTGTTTATATTGTGAAAACTAAACCCTTGCTTCTAATGTTTATCTCATGGGATATTCTAGTTTTTGTGTATGTCTAGTTACTAATGGTGCTAAGGATGGTATATTTGGTGCACTCCGATTGGTATCACGCTTCAAAGGTCCATCTCTTATTCCTTAGCACCATTTGGTAGACATTGCCCTCCAAATTCCAATCCATGCATATGTGCAAGTTTCAATCCAAACTCTTAGCACATATGTAGGGGGAGCTAATGCTACCAATTAGGGTTCATGAAACTTGTCCATATCTTTTTACACATGGTAAATATTCTTGGGCAAGCAACATGGATTCAAATGAATTTCAATTCATATCTTTGTAAAAGGGTTGTCATCAATTACCAAAAAGGGGAGATTGAAGCTCTAGTTTGATTTTGATGAATTGATGAAACCCTAAGTGCTAACCTAGTTTATCAAAGTGATCATGAGATAGGTAGCGCATTCCAAGTAATGGAGCAACCTGGTGAAGATCATGATGATGGTGTGACCATGGTGATGATCAAGTGCTTGGACTTGGAAAAGAAGAAAGAGAAAAATAAAAAGTTCAAGGCAAATGTGAAACTTGATATGAGCTTTTTTTTGATTTGGTGATCGAGACACTTAGCGAGTGTGATCACATTTAGGATAGATAGCCGTACTAAGAGGGGTGAAACTCATATCGAAATGCGGTTATCAAAGTGCCATAAGATTCTCTAACTTATTGCATTTGCATTTAGATTCTAGTGAGTGCTAACACCCTTGAAAATGTTTGTGAAAATATGCTAACACACGTGTACAAGGTGATACACTTGGTGGTTGGCACATCTGAGCAAGGGTGGAGAAGTTGGTGAAGTGGAGGAGTTGATTTTCACTAAAAATCAGTGACCGGACGCAGGTGGCGTTGTGACCGGACTTGGAGTGTCAGCATCCGGTCAAGTTTGGCGTGCTCGGGCAGTGACCGAACGCTGGGTCAACCTGTGACCTGACTCACCGAGGGTGCGTCTGGTCAGTGGTGACGTATGGTGACGCAAGCGCTGAGCTGAGGCAGTGAGGACCTGATGCATTGGCGCGTCTGGTCGTGGCGCACCTGACACGTCCGGTTGTAGTTTTGTCGCTCGAGGAACTCTCTAGAAGTGACCTGACGTCATTGAGCTAAAGGGATCGACGCGTCCGGTCGTAGTTGGGTGGAGCGTGAGCTTTTGCTGATCTGACACGGGGCTGGCGCGTCCGATCTCTTGATCGGTGCGTCCGGTCCCTGTTTAACCGCACATGCGCTAGCAGCTAGCCATTGGCGATCAACGGCTCAGGTTTAAACGTGTGACACATGGCAGCGGATCAGCGACCGGACGCTGAAGGTGGTGTGTCCGGTCACTTTGACCGGCGCGTCCGGTCGCCCCGAGAAGGCTGCAGTGAGGAGCCCAACGGCTCTATTCGTGGGGGCTCTCTATTTAAGCCCCACGGTCAGCTCAAGCTCACTCTCTTGGCCATTTTCATTGACATAGCAACCTTTTGAGCTTAGCCAAAGCCCTCCCACTCATCTTCATCATTGATTCATCATCTTTGTGAGACTGGGAGTGAATCCAAGTACATTGCTTGAGTGATTGCATCTAGAGGCACTTGGTGTTCGTGTTTCGCTGCGGGATTTGCTTGTTACTCTTGGTGGTTGCTGCCACCTAGATAGCTTGGAGCAGCGAGGATCATCGAGCGGAGGTTGGTGAGTGTCTCCGGCTTCGATCGTGGTGATTGTGAGGGGTTCTTGACCTTTCCTCAGCGGAGAGCCAAAAGGTACTCTAGTGGATTGCTCGTGGCTTGTGTGATCCTCATCTTGTGTTGGTTGTGTGGCACCCTATTGAGGGTTTGGCGTGTGATGCCAATCCACGCGTGAACCTCCAAGTAAGTGAATCGCCACAACGAGGACTAACTTGTCGGCAAGCAAGTGAACCTCGGTAATAATCTTGTGTCATCTTATCCCAAGGATTTCTTGATTGATTGTGATTGATTGGCTCCATCATATTGTGATTGGCTCTATCCTCATCACGACGGTATAATTATCACATCCTCTCTCTTGCATTTACATTTCTAGTGTTGCTTCGCTCTTTAGTGTAGTTAGTCTTGAGAGCAAGCTTGTGTCGGGTCTAGTGGTTTGAGGCTCTTTAGTTAGTCTTTGAGAGCTCACTAACTTAGCGTAGTGACACAGCCTTCGCGTGCTTAGAGATCATAGTCACTATAATAGTGTTAGGTGACTTGCATTTCACTCTCCTGCCTCGTCGCACTGTGCGAAGGCGGCAGAGAGGGTAAAGGCGGGGGCTTGGGCCTTGGCAAGGCCAGCCATGGCGGTAGCGGTGGATGGTGGTGCGACTGCTGTGTAGGCAAGGCCACGGGGGTTCTCTCCATTCTAGTCAAGGGCTTAGGCGAGTCCGGGGGGGTTCAAGAGGAGCGGCGTCGTGACCAATTCATGCGGCGGAGTCCGCTCGGCGATGAGGCTCACGGTGGAGGCAGGGCGAAGGCATGGCTTCGGTGAACGACAACTAGGTGGGGGTCATGGGTCTTGACGAGGGCGCACATCGGTGCGCCAGGTCACGGCGGAGGCGCTCGGCTCATCCCCGTCCTGCGAGGCGGGCGGCAACGGTGGGAACAGCTCCGGCACAACGGTGCCCATGCTTGTGCACCGGTCATTGCAGCGGGGTCTTGGGGTTCTAAGGGGCTCTGTGGCGGCCGTGTAGTGCCAGTGGTGCGTCGTGGCGAGGCGGAGCCCGTCGTGGGGAGCTAGAGATCTCTACTGTGCTGGTGGGACCGGAATAGTGGCCCGCCGCAGCGGTACCATGTCCATGCACGCGCGCACGTGCGGTGGTGTTCCAGCGCCTCGGCAATGGACCGATACAACAGATATCTCTATCTCTTCTCTATATTAAAAAGATTCTAAAGTCATCATCTACTCAGTGATACCAAATACCTTGCTCACACGTCCCCGTCTGATACGAATCATACTGAACTTAGCTCACACGTTCGTGTCCTACCCGGTACATCCGTGTCCGACTACTAGGGGTGAAAACGGTACGGATTTTTTCCAACCGTATTCGAGACCAAATCCGTTTAGAGGGGTTCAGATCTGTTCATATCTAAGTTCGGATATTCAACATCCGACACCGTGTCCGTATCCGAATACTCAAATTGCATATTTATATTCGAATCCGAATCCAGACAGAAATATGAAAACAAATGTAGTATCAGTGTTATCTGTCAATTCAAAAATTAAGACTTCGGTGCAGGGCACGAGCATGTATCTAGTGAATAGAAAAAAATACCTATCAAATATGAATGGATTGATATAAACAAACAACCCGCCCAAGTCTTCTTGCTCTTCTTGAGGCGCAAATGTTTCTTGCAATTTCCGTGATTTTCAGTTCCATACAGCAGATACAGTCGGCAGAAAATTTGCGTGCGCAATAATAATATCCTAGTTGAACAATACATATATTCATACATCGTCTTCAGCTCAGTCTTAAAATTTCAGCTTAAATAGCTGAAATACATGTTGAGATCTACTTATCTTAGTCATCTTGATGCCTTCATCACATCATGGCTTCTCGTCTGGCCTTCCACATGAGCCAGTTAAACGTCTCGCCAAATTTTGAGGGCTCGCAGTTTTATTTGGAGCATGAATGCAGCTTCCTCGTTCACCACACCGAGAAATTTCCAATCATTGTTTCCTCCCAAGTCTTGAGTCAAAAATTATGCCATCCCGAAGTGCTAAACGTCAGACGAACGGTTCGCGTACTCTTGAACCAATGCTCCAAAGAGAGATGGCCTCTCGATCAGATTTGCAGGCCGGTCAAACTCCTTCGCTAGTCCTGGTACCAAAATGATTCAGATTTTAGATTGACAGTGGGATTTGGAAGCTTGAGCTCGAGTTCTCAAAATACCAATACTATTGCTAGGAAACTTTAAGTTCAGTGTATGAATGTCGTATTAAGGTGAACAAAGTGTCAAGTTCTATGTGGTTACCTGCATCTATAACCAGGACCCTGTCGCAGTCCATCACCGTTGGTATTCTGTGCGCAATGCTGATAATGGTACAAGCTGCAAAGTCTTCCCGGATGATCTTCTGAATCACAGCATCGGTCTGGGAATCAACGGATGCAGTGGCCTCGTCCATGAACAGTATTCTGCTGCGCTTTAGCATCACCCGGCCAAGGCATAGCAGTTGCCGTTGTCCAACACTCCAGTTCTCACCATTGTCGACAACTAGGTGGACAAAAGACAAATTATGTTCATTGTCAGTATATAGCTGCAACAAATGTTTTAAGAACTCTTTTGGCTCAATGGTATTACAAGGAAAAACTAAGCCTCTTCAATTATGTTCCTGCAAGTTACAGACATATAGTACTATTAAATCACTATTTTATACACGTTTAATGTGGAGAACCTGGATTCTTGAAGTCAGAACAATATGTAGAGTTGAAGGGTATAGGAAAAATGAAGTTTCATATTATTTCCACAGCATATTAAACAATTAAGTTAATAGTTAAAATACCTGAAGCATCAAGCTTTTCGGGTTTTGAAGCCACGGCTTCTTTCAACTGACAACGGTCCAAAGCCTAAAAGGGAAATACGTTTAGCTTCTAATGAGATGGCAGAGAAAAATAATCAGATAAAAAACAGGCTTACTGGTGAAATATATACCTGCCAGATTTCATCATCAGAATACTGCTCAAGTGGATCAATATTGCTCCTAATGGTCCCTTCAAAGAGAACAGGTTCCTGAGGGATGATACCAAACCGTGACCTAAGGTCATGGAGTCCTAAAGTGCAGATGTCAACACCGTCGATGATTATTCTCCCCTCAGAAGGCTCCACTATTCTGAACAATGCCTGGATCAGTGTTGATTTCCCACTACCAGTTCTACCGACAACTCCAATCTTCTCTCCTCCATGTATGCTTATCGTGATGCCCTTCAACACTAGAGGAGTGTTGTGCCTATACCTAAACTGCAGAAGCACAGAGACAAACTCTTGTTACTTGATGCTTTCAGTTGTCAATGCTCAAATTTTTCACCACTGCACCATATTGAATAAACTAAAGAATATACTGTATCAGACTATCAGTTGGGAAATCTACCTTAAGATCAATGACATCGATGTCACCTTTTGTTGGCCAGTTAGAATCTGGTAGGCAGTCCTTGATCCTCCATGCGGCCTCTGAAGGAATATTTGTGAATTGCTTTATCCTCTCAACTGAGACCATCTTGTTTTCAATGAAGCAACTGATCCAGATGGCCCAGAACAACACCTGGTTGAGAGATAGACCATATGATAGTGATAGACCAACATATTCTGCACCATGAGAAGGGTTTTTAGAGTTTGAAAAATTAGAGAACATCCCAGTATTTCCATACAAAGTTCATGATGGCAAAAGGCAATCAGTTGTTAGAAGTTCCACCTGACTTGACGATGCTGCTTGGCAATGTGACCATGAGAACAGCTGTGAAGCAGAGAACAAAGCTTCCAATGAGCTCGAGCCGGAAACCAAGCCACTCGTTGGCACCATTGTTGTGGAAGTCCATCCTCAGGCTTGAGTTCACCCGGTTCAGGTTCTCCTGCAAGAAGCTGTCCTCCTTCCTGAAACACCTGATGGTCATGACACCTTGAACTGTCTCAGAGAAGTGGTGGATCACTGGAGCCTTGGTGATCGACTCGAGGCGAGTCAGCTCCCTCGATGTCGACAAGTAGTAGCCCTGGTGTAAATCATATCAGATTGTCAAAACACGGAGCAAGTGCACAAAGGACAAGCATCAGAGATAGTAATTGCCATTGCCATGGTGGAAGCACAAACTCACCCGGTACCAGATGTTCAGTATCACCAGAGGGATGATGGCGATGACGGACGGCCACGCCACTTGACACGTGACGATAAGCACACTGATCACGGTGATGTACATGGACACGCTCATCCAGACGAAGAACGGCAGGAAGAGATCAACGTTCGTCTGATCTGACGACGCCTGCGCAACAACATAAGCTATGTCAGCACCAAGAGCTACATCAAACAAAGGATGATGCCTCAGCATCGTCGTACCCTGCTGAGGATCCTGCCTGATGGCGTGGTGTCGAAGAAGGACATGGGCGCGTGCAGGATGCTGTTGAGGATCTGCTTGAAGAACCGGTCCGCCGTCTGGAGGCCAATGATGGCCACGAGGAAGGAGCGAGCCGCGACGAGCACCACCGAGACGGCGGCGATGATGGCGTACACGTTGATGAACAGCGACGGCTGGAACGAGGTTGCGTTCTCCTCGGAGGTCTGGTCGGCGAGCCAGTAGTCGCTGGCCATCAGAGAGCCCTGCCACACCACGGAGACAGCCACCACCACAAAGCGGCCCCCCACCACCCCCAGGCCTCCGTCATGTACTGCTTGTACACGGTGAAGCTGACGTGCCCGCTAGCGCGCTCCTCGTCCTTGATCAGCCGCGCCGACGCCTTCTCGGCCTTGGGCGCCACGATGGAGGACGAGGACGAGTCGCCGTTGGACGCCCTGCCCGCAGCGGTCTTGTTCGACGGCTGCCGGGAGAGGGGCAGCTCGCGCTCGCTCGCCGGCGCCGCGCTCTCCACGAGCTCCATGGAGCTGTCGTGCGCTGCGACCAGTGCCGCGAAGTCGGTGCCGGCCTGGAGGAGCTCATTGTACTTGCCGGATTGTACGATCATTCCGTCCTTCATCACCTGGAAGCATTTGCGGTGGGTTCAGCACGAGTCGAGAACTTTAAAATCAATAGATCACAGCTACTACTGTAAATACTACTAGTAAAACACAATGCACTTACATATATGATATCAGCATTGTGCAAGAAATCAACTTGGTGTGTCACGAGCACTATGGTCTTGTTCTTCAGAGCACCTCTAACACATTCCTGCTCAAACAAACAAAAGGATCAGTCTGTTGCTGTTCGTTCCATTAGGAATCTGAATAGAAACTCGATCAAAAGTTCAGCTTCAGTGATGCATGGAGTACCTTGAAGATCTCAGTGCCCGTGTGCGCATCGACCGCACTGAATACATCGTCGAGGAGGTATATATCGCAGTCCTGGTAAACGGCACGTGCGAGCTGTATGCGTTGCTTCTGCCCGCCGCTAAGGTTGATGCCACGCTCCCCGATCTCCGTTTGGTCGCCGAATTCCATCATCTCGAGGTCCTTCTCCAGGCAGCACACCCTGATGACCTCCTTATACCTCTCCCGGTGCATGGGCTTCCCAAACAGGATGTTTTCCTCAATGGTGCCGTTCTGGATCCATGCCGTCTGTGCCACATATGCCGTGCTGCCGCAAACCTTTACCTGCAATTATCATTGCATTTTCTCATAAGCAACATTCTGTAGTAGGTTCTAACTGAAACCTTTTACAGTAATCTTTCATAATATAGGACTCGCGCATTTAGCCAGACACAAACATGACACTCAGTTAAAATTTTATTTATTCTTTTTCTCATAATAAAGACTCTACTGGGAAGCCAGCAGGGTGCTGCAGAAATGTAGCAATCTAGCAGATCCAAGTTCTACTATTCCCTTGTCCGTCAAATACTGAAATGAATGTACAAACCTTCAGTTGAGATTTATCTATGCAGAGCAATGATGCAGGGCACTAAAGCTTTGTACTGTTAGTAGGCACTCCAAGATCATATCCATTGATCTCATGGACATAAATGGCTGGCTAGCAATTCTACTTAGACACCCAAATCCAAAAGGAAGCTGGAGTTGATATCCAAGTCAGATTCTAATATCCGGAAACATGGGTGCATCTCATTCTCCAGCGAAAACAGTCTGAATGTTGGAAGCGATACAAACTCGTCAGTAAAACGTAGTTAGATCTAAGACTCTTTTAAGAAAATCAAACTCTGTAGAAATAGAACACTACATCAGGTAATGTTCTACGTTCAGGCAAAATTTTCAAGTTCAAACTCAATAATGTCCAGGTCATGAGTTACTAGTAAATTAATTTCCTTTTCGAAACGGGACACCCAAATTGGAACCACATATTGGCGCCCATATTGGTGTCCAGTGCTGGGTAGGGATGGAAACGAATCGGATACGGACGGATATCACTGATATTGCATTTGTTTTCATATTTCTGCCCGGATTCGGATTCGAATACAGATAGTGTCAATCATACCGGATATGATACGATTGGATATCAACATCATAAATATGCGATTTGAGTATTCGGATATGGATACGGTATCGAATGTTGAATATCCGGACTCGGATACGGACGGATCTAAACCCCTCTAAACGGATTCGGTCTCGAAAACAGTCGGAAAATATCCGTACCGTTTTCATCCCTAGTGCTGGGTATCCAATCCAATAGACCAATACACGTACTCCTACACAAGACGATAACAACTGTTCACTATCAAACGCACACCAGCGCATGCAGCACCACAGCATTCAGTTCTGATCTTCAGGCTGTTCGTTTGACTATGACTTGTCGTAAATGATTGTAAATTTTCAGCCGGAACAGTATTTTTCTCTCACACAAACCAGCTATCAGTGCTTCTTTATGAACCAGCAATGATATGAACCAGCCGACCGAACAGGCTGCTTGTGAGCAGACCTCTGAAAAACACTAAAAGAAAAAGAATTATCGCTGCAAGGTAGTAATATCTGCTGACAGGACAGAGCAGCGATTCCCTGCTGACAATCTCCCTCTTTTATAAAAAAAAAAAGATTTCAGGCACGGCTACTGCTGCAACCTCGTGGTGTCGCGGGAAAGTTGATGCCCCTGAATGTGCAGGCTGACTTTCATCTGCGTGCGCGGACAAACGCAGATAGCCTTTTTGTTTTGGACACCTAATAAAAGGTCGAATCCACACTAGTAGAGGAGTAGTCTCCTGGACTAGAACGTGATAGCCTTTTTGTTTTGGGACATGCTAGTATACAAGTATGGTTAACCTATATCTCTGTTTGTTTTGGACACCTAAGATTAAGATTGATACGGGCTAAAGTTTAGTCGTGTCACGTCAGACTTTCATCGGACGTTACGAATGCTAACTAGAAGAACTAAACATAAGCTAATTATAAAACTAATTACACAGAAGTAGACTAATTAGCAAGACGAATCTATTAATCCTAATTAATTCATAATTAACAAATATTTACTGTAGCACGCATTGTCAGATCATTGAATAATTAGACTTCGTCTAGTAAATTAACCTTAATCTGTGTAATTAATTTTATAATTAGTTTATGTTTAATACTCATAATTAGTATCAAAGATTCGATATGACAGGGCTAAACTTTTGTCCGAGAAAAACAAACACAGCCTAATATGTGGAGCACCATACGGTCTCCGGCGCAAACACAAGAATCGAATTGCAGCCACAGACGGCCAATGATAACGACAGAACGTTTGGTTTGGTTGGTGTTCTCCACCTGAGACTCAGAAATCTTGTATTGTGCTCCTTTCGTCTACAAAAGAATGCAAATCTCACGTTTCGAAAAGTCAAATAATTTCAACTTTAACTAAAATTGTATAAAAATATACTAACACTCATCAGACAAAATAAGTATTATTAGATTACTTATAGAATATATTTTCATAATAAATTTATTTCGAGACAAATATTAATCCTATTTACTATAAGCTTGGTCAAAGTTGGACTGGCATGTTTCTCATAATTATATTCTTTTCTGGACAGAGGCAGAACAAGAAGGGCGGCCCACTTTTTGCAGTTTTGCTAGACGCGATGTGGCCTTGGATCTCGATCAATTCTCTTGCCCTGGCTTGTGTGACGTGCGCCGTGTCGTATCTACTGGGCAGATTGCTGTTATCATCACTCGAAATAATCTTTGCATGATTGCAGGCTTTTCCATATTATAAATAAAATTATGCCAAGTATATGTAATTAGGAAGCATTTCAATTCTGTCAAAGCGAAGTAGTAAGCATCATGTTAGTAGCTTTCAAGAAAAGCTGTCTTTTGGACTCCTTTTTTTTCTAAAAAAAAAAGTAAACATCATGGAGTGGTTTCCGCCCGAGCTGGAACTCCTCAAATTTCCAAGCGGTAATCGATCGTTTATTTGAGTAATCATCGCCTTGGATGAAAGAAATATCAAGTTGCAGCTGCTCGCCGGCTTCTACTCCGTGACTGATAAGGGCATTTTCAATAGTGTCTTAAGGGCTAGCTTATAGAATATTTTATTCAATAAAAAGATGAGATGAGAGAATGACAAGCTAGCTCTTCATGAAAAGCTAAATTTATAGGATTCGTATGTCTATGCTTACACATTTTTCTATACTGACATGTCCGGTTATTCTATTTTTTCAAATTCATAGTATGAGCTAGCAAGTTAACTCTATTATCGAGGGTGCCTGAAAAAACATGGATGGACACGATCTACCTTTACGTTGGAACATAAAGTATTTATTATATTGTTATTGTAGGGCTCGGTTGTACTTCTGTCCCAAAATACTAATCTCCGTCCAAAAAGAATGCAATTTTAGATGTACTCTTAGTTAAAGTGTTTAAAATTTGACCAATTATATAGATAAACTATCAATGTTTACGATGCCAAATAAGTATATTCTGAAGATATATTTCATGGCAAATCTAATCACACTTATTTGATATAAATATTGATGCTTTTTATATGTAGTTATTAATCAAACTTAAGATACTTTAACTTGGTATTGTGTTGAATTAAATATAAAATAATGTCGTAAATTATATAGTAGCTACCGTAACTCAAAGTGGTAATACTAACATATTAAATAAAGAGAGATAGAGCGAGAGATATTTTGCAAAAAACTTAAATAATTTTAAATTTGATTAAATATTATATAAAAATACTAACATATGAGTATCATTAAATTAATTAGGGAATATATTTTTTATAGCAAACTTAATATTTTTATAAATTTGGTTAAACATAAAAGATTTTTTGACTCTGTTACAAACTTAATTGCATTCTTTTTTACTCCTAAAAAATTGCATTTTTTTTACTCCTAAACCGGAGGGAGTATATATCTTACGAGTACTCATATGCTCACCGTACCATAGCACATATACTCATTCCATCCCAAATTATAAGTCATTCCAAAAATCTTAGAGAGTCAAACTATCTCAAGTTTGATAAAATTTATATGATAAGATAATAATATTTATGGTGCCAGCTAAGTATCATTAGATTCTTCATTAATTATATTAATTATATTTTTATAGTATACATATTTGATGTTAAAAATCTTTGTAATTCTTTCTATAATTTTGGTTAAAGTTAAGATGCATTGACTCTTTAATATTCTTGGAATGACTTAGGGCAGTCCAAATGGTGTATCGATGATGGTTTTTATCCTCATTAAATGACTTGTCACGTAGGCAAAACGCTGATATGGCAACGTAATTAATGAAGAAAGAGAGCAAAAATCATAGAAATGGTTTCCTCATGAAGAAATCAGGTCTACTCTTGACCCAATGCATCAAGAAACTATGAAATCGTCATTGGGGAGAAACCACCAGTTTCTTAGGAGCTCATGTCGCACTCCCATTGGAGAAAGAAGATAGAGTTGGGAAAGAGAAAGAGAAAATAATTATTACTCATAGAAACCATGGGTTGAAAAACAGTACTTTTTTTTGTGCGGTATCCTATATTATAGAAACTACTAGTTTCTTTTACTGGGACTGCCTTTATAATTTAGAAAAGAGAGAGTATTTATATGCACGTGCGTCTATAAATATTAGAGGAGAAGATGGACCCATATCTTGTGATTATATTGTAGGAGTACGTGTACCGGTGTCCTTGGTCAGACAAAGTAAGACAAGGTATCGAATAAACAAAGTTATCGTCTGCTTTGCTTTTCTCGCAGGTCACGGGGATGGCCGGGACCCAGCTTCACTTCACGAGGGTGACCCAAAAAACTGGAACGCCGGACCCCTACGCCCTGTCTAGTTCGACTCCAAAATCCTAAATTTTTCAAGATTTTCTATCACATCGAATCTTTGACGCATACATAAAGTATTAAATATAAATAAAAAATAAAACTAATTACACGGTTTAGACGAAATTCACGAGACGAATCTTTTAAGCCTAATACTAATTGCCAAATAACAACAACAAAAACTGCTACAGTATCATTTTGCCAAATTTTTGGCATCCAAACGGTGCCCTAGCTAGACTGTCTGTGCCACCCTACGATTCTAGTAGCTGTTCAGTGAGTACGTACTGTAATGATCACTCGCTGAAAAACAGGTTAGGCCCATTCAAAAAAATTTGCACGGACCTGTCATATCGAATCTTGTGATACATACATGAAGTTAGGTGAGAAATCGCGAGACAAAACTTTTAAACCTAATTAATCTATAATTATACACTAATTACTAAATACAAACGAAAGTACCGCCAGATCTAATAGGGGGCCTTACCATTAATCAATGCCTACGTGGTGCATTGATTTATTTTCGAGTTGGTGGAGTATCATTTTTCTGTCTTTATTACCCATCATTATTCTAGTAGCTGTATCTTCACTTCTTCAGTGAGTACGTACACTAGTGAGTATCATTTGTTTTCATCATTCATGCACTAGAAATAAGGAGATGCAGATGCGTGCGTACCTTGCCGGAGAACTTGCGCATCTCGCCGAGGATGCAGCCGAGCAACGACGACTTGCCGGAGCCAACCATGCCCACCACTGCCGCCAGCGCGCCCGTCCGGATGTCCAGGTCGATGCCGCGCAGCACCTCCTGCCCGGCGTCCACCTCGTCGTCCCACGCGAACACGCCGTCCTTCACCTGCACGGCCATGCCGCCGTCGCAGCCGGACGCCGCGGCGGGCTCCCTCTCCACGGCGCCCTCGTCAAGCTCCGCGCTAGTCATGTACCTGCGTTGTACACGTAGCAATTAAGGATTGGAAATAACGCATTCAATATTCACGCAATTAAAGCCGTGTGGATGATGGATTACGAGTCAAGTCGCTGCAGCGAGATCATCGCCTGCGACGCCTGGATCATCGCCTGCGGGAAGTTCCGCATGGGCTCCTGCAGGATCTTGAAGAAGGACGTTGCGGTGAAGACGAGGCCAGCGTCGAGGCGCACCCCGCCGGTGAGCACGCAGGTGGCGAAGACGAGCGCGGAGACGACGACGGGGGCGCTCCAGAGCGCGATGATGTTGCCCGAGATGGAGTACATGAAGCGGGAGAGCCAGCCGAACTCGCGGTGGCGGAAGCGGCCGATGCGCGCGTTGAAGTGCTCCTCCCACGCCTGGAACTTGATGACGCGCATGTAGTTGAGCATCTCGTTCGTCGCCTTCATCCGCTGGTCGCGCTCCTTCATCAGCGAGAACTGGTACCGGTTGTTGCGCCGGGTGCCCAGGAGCACGAACACCATCACGCCCGCGACGCCGATCAGAGCCGACGTCACCGGAGGCCCGAGGTACGTGTACAGCAGGCCCAGCGCAACGCCAACCTGCATGCACCGCCGACAAAAACACATCGATCACCATGCAAGCATCTTCAAAATAAAAAAACATCAACGACGAGTGCACGATCCACAAAAACATCAGGCGGTAAAACGTGCAGAATATAGAACTCCGTGATTAACGGGCAGTTCTAGAAGAGGGCCAAGGCATCAACAACGGTGGAGACGTGGCCACCAACTCCCATCTAGCTAGGTCGACGACGACTCGCAAGTTAACAATATAATGTCGTCTGCGATCAGAGCAAACCTATATATATGGCTCCTCGGTCAAAGTTCATAACGCGTGTACGTATATCATCAATATTTAACCTTCAAACACAATCTTTAACACAATTATAATACAAATTTAGATTTATAATCAAATATAACTACCCAAGAACCACCAGAGATAATATAATACGAGATACATTTATGATTCAGTGTAAATTACGAGACTGTCATATCAAACAATATTTTATATGAAAACTAGACGAGAGAGAGAGAGAGAGAATATAAACTACATACGGAGTACTCCTATACCAACTAATATGGACGCAGCACTAAAATAGACAAGGTCAAATTGGTCCTGACCCTGGCTCTGCTCCTAACGATACAGTACTTGCGGGCTGGGGGCCGCGCGCCGCGACGTCGCACGAACGCCAGCCACATTTGAGTGACATCTACCATGACGATACCACACTTCTTTTCCCTCTTTCCTAGGACTAGGAGATACTCTTAGATTTCTTTTTTTTTTTTTGCCTGTTCGCTCGGAGAAATTCTGGAGGAATTTGGATGGTTTGGAAAAATGCTGATGAATTTGTGAGAGAAAACATTGTTTGAATAAAAAAAGCGGATCAAGCCGGAGTTTAAGAGCACGTGAACGGTTTATCCCCATGCTTGCACTACGACAAGACAATGCTTTGGAAGGACAGCTCGTTTGCTCAAATCAAATTAACATTTGGGGGTTGCTGTTTGATATTCGGGAGTATATATACTCGTATATCTCTTTCATTCCTTTGCATCCAGAGGTTTTCTTCGACGCAATCGTCACCTCAACTCCTCTCCAACTCCAATTCTGGTAATATTGGTTTCCCTCTCCTTCATCTCCACCAAGATTGGACTTCTCTGGCGGATTTGCAACTTGTGAGGGGAGCGTAAGAGGTGGTTGATGACTTGCATTAATGGGTAGACCAACGAAGGTTGACGAGTGGGGGAGAGAACAAGAGCAATTGAAACTCGCTTCGACTGGTTAGCGTAGCAGAATTTCACCTCTAGAAGAGAACAAAGAGCAAAATGCCGAAGCGTGCAGTGCAGCAAGACCCTAAACAAAAAGGAGAAAACCCATGCTGCCCCGATGCTCAAGCGTGCACTGCAGGCAGAACGAGCAACTCCTATGCCGCAGCTGCTGCGCTGCATACAAAGGTCTGATAAGGAAACTGTCATGCACCAGGGGCCTTGTTTAGATTGGGGTTAGGAATCAGTATTTAGCATAGTAGTATTTTCGTTTGTATTTGATAATTATTGTCCAATCATGGTCTAACTAGGCTCAAAAAATTCGTCTCGTAATTTACAATCAAACTATATAATTAATTATTTTTTTATCTACGTTTAATACTTCATACATATATTCAAAGATTTGATACGATAAAAAAAAAGTAAAAAAACTTGCAACCTAAACCAGGCCTAGCACTAGCAGCTGCATGCACTACCCCTTTTGTTGCACTGCGCCGTCTGAACTCTGAAGGCATCATGCATGCACAGTTGCACATGTGACAAGTATCGATGCCTGCTAGCTGTACCTCGGTCCTTTGTCAGGAATCAGGGACAAACAAAAGCCGCACGGATTCCAATACGTGCGGTGCAGGGTGCCACGGCACCCAATACGCCAACCACATGAGATGACTTGGCTGAGAAAGGGTGGTGCGGTGAACTCGTGACTGGTGTGGAGGAAGGAAACGTGGAATCACAGCGGCCTACTATCTGTACCATCTTTTAGTGTGGACGATTCTGCATCCCCGAAGTGTTGTACAATCATCGGTCATGCATGGCGAGTGAGATGGCTCATCAGGAGGAAAAGCAAAACAGATAGATGAGCAACGGCTGTTGCGGATCCGCAGCGTCCAGGCTAGGATCGATCTTCGGCGCTGTTCCGTGTGCTGCAGCTGTAGCTAAAACTATCAGAACTGGCAGCTGGCGTGTTCATGCTGCTTTGTTCCTTGGTACCCATAATTAGTAACGGAATTGGGCACCCGCACCGTGCCTTGTAGTATCCAATCCATCGGCACTTGGCATCAGATACACGAAACAAACAAGAAAGAGTACGTATTTGTGCACAGCGGCAGTTGCCAAATGCCAACACGAGTTTTACAATGCACAGCTCGCGCAGGTCCCCATCTATACTCCGTAGGTAGCAGCGCACGGTCCTGACAAAAGAAACGAGAGAAACGAAGCGTTCCCTTCCCATAGGAGGCAATGGCCAATGGTGCAACGACAGCGTGCCGGCTGGAGCCCGGAGCTAGAACTGCTTCTAGTCTAGCACATGCAGAATCGAAGAGGTATGTATGTACCTGGAGCGGCATGAGCCAGAGGTAGTGGATCTGCAGCATCATGTCGGACAGCTGCTGCGCGTCGACGGCCATGTAGTTGACGATCATGCCGAGGCCGTGCTTCTGGCGCGCGGAGCACGAGAGGCGGAGCCCCTTGCGGTAGAGCGCCACGATGAGGGCGCCCCGGATCTGCATCCCCAGCTTCTGGCAGTGGAAGTTGTACTGGTGGCTGCACAGCGCCTCCGCGCACTTGGCCGCCAGCAGCGTCGCCACCAGCCGCGCGCCCTCCCCGAGCGGCCGCTGCCCGGCACCCGCCGACGTGAAGTCCACGAAGCTCTGGATCAGCGTCGGCCCCACGTACATGACGGTGAGGCGGAGCAGCGCCAGCGACGCGTTCAGCAGGAACTGCGCCCAGAAGGTGCGGAACAGCGTGTGCCGGACCGGGTTGTTGTCCTTGGACGCCCACGACGACGGCCAGTGCAGGGTGAAGAGCTCGTGCATGCGCTCGGGCCGGTGGGACGGCGCCAGCGTCGGCACGTCCGACAGCTCCAGCGCCGACCGGTACCCGCGCTGCACCAGCGGGTTCATCCACGCCCACGTCGCGCGCGACGCCCACGACGCCGTCGCGTACGGGGTCACGTTCGCCTTGCTGTTGCTGTCGGTGGTGGTGGTGGTGGTCTCCTCGTCCGCCGCCGCGGCCCCGGTGGCGTCGTCGCTGACCGCCGCCACGGCTACGACGCCCGTGGACCCGAGGATGGAGAGGAACGGGAGGGGAAAGGGACAGAACCAGCGCCGCGATGGCCAGCGCGTCGTCCGGGAGCCTAGCCGCGCCCGACGCGAGGCGCGCGACGGAGGTGCCGGCGAGGAGCGCCGTCAGCGCGGGCGCCGCCAGCCAGTAGAGGCGCAGGGTCAGCGGGTGCGCTGCCGCGCGGAACCGCTTCTCGTGCGCGACGACGGCCGCGGCGGCCAGGTGCGCCGCGCACTGCAGCGCCAGGAACACCACCTCCAGGGCCTCGCCGCCCCTGTTGACCAGGGAAAGGACGAGCAGCACGGCGTAGAACGCGGCGAGGACACCGGACGCAGCCAGCGCGACGACGAACCCGGCGCCGACCCGAACAACCACGGCCCGCCCCCGGTCCCCGTGGACCCCGTCCCTGTCCAGCAGCGGCTGCTTGTCTTCGCCGTTGAGGGCATAGCGTCGTCGCCGTGTGGAGATGAGTTTGGCGGCGCCGAGGCAGAGCAGCGCGACGAGGAAGACCGCGGACGCGGCGGAGAGGAGCATCCGCTGCGAGCACGTGGAGAGGAAGAGGAAGGCGGCCCATTCCCCTAGCCTCGCGGCGGGTGCGGAGGGGAGGTCGCAGGCGTCCGTGGTGAGCCACCACGGCGGCGGCGACGCGAGGGCCATGCGGCGGCCGGCAGGGGTCTGGTGGTCAGGGTCGGCGGCGCATGCAGAGGCTGATGAGGATGGAGTGTGTGGCTCGGCTGCGTGCCAGACGAGACGAGAAGCGAGAGGAGGGGAGGAGACGCAGAGTCAGTCAGGGAAGCTTCTGATTGTTTGGTTGCGGACCAGCGATGTGAACGAGAGAGACGACGGGCAGGGCAGGGGCAGGGGCAGGGGCAGCCCAGCTGAAATAGAAAGGGGGCGATGGCCAATAGCGGCTGGCTTTACTTATGTGTGGTGTGGTGTGGTTCTGTGGCTGGTTCCACAATCCACAGCATCGCTATTCCGTGGATCCTTGCTGAGAACCATGCGCTTGTCTCGGCCGTGCCGTGCTACAGCGGGCGGCAAACGGCGCGGTCAACATGACGTTTGCAGTCGTCTGCCTGCCGTGCCGTCTTACGAAGCACCATATGGCACCCACATATTCCATCCTAATCTTCGCGTCGCCAGAATATGCATCACAACACAACCTCTGCCAAAAAAAATCACAAAGGTATTCGCTCCTCTCAAGACACTTGACTGCAAAGGGCATGCCCTTACCATTTAAAGTCAAATCATTCCTTACTTTCTTTCGATCCCAAATACTCTCTTTGTTTTAAATTGTAAGATATTTTGTTTTTTTAGACTTATAACTTTTGCTAGACATCTATATATCATGTCTAGATTCACAGTAAAACCTATGAATCTAAAAATGCCAAAACGTCTTATAATTTAGAACAGGTGGAGTAATACTCTAAGTGATGATTTAGGTAGCCATAATACGATCATTTTAATCTCATGTGTCACAGATTGATTTGAGTACAACTTGATTGCAGTTTACAACTCAGGATCCAACGCTTAAGTTGTAGTTGTTTGATAGTAAAGCACACAAATACATGAGATGGTTTATATGCAAGGTTATATTTGAGTTGTACTACTCAAATAGCTGTATATGAATCGAAGCACTTTCCTACTAATAATCTTCTATCCTTTCCGATTGTTTACTTGTTTTCATAGTACTACTAGGATAGGATTCATAGCAGAGGTCGTCGATTGCCAAGCTACTCATCCCACAAAGAATATCATTCCCACTTTCCGACGAGTCAATTATTTTTAACTTTAACCAAAAATATATAAAAAAATTTAGATAAATCATGAAATATATTTTTTATAATAAATTTATTTAGTGATAAAAACATTGCTAATATTTTCTATAGAATAGTTAAATTTGAAAAAAATTGATTGTCACGCATCACATAGCTTTTTGGGATGGAGGAAGTCACGCATCACATAGCTTTTTGGGATGGAGGAAGTATGCTATGAGATGAGGGCATACGCGTGCACTTTCCACTATATATGAAGGCACCCAAGCACACCCTACCTTATGAGCACCACAGACGTCTCGCTGTCAACAGACACGATGCCTAACAATAGAGCTAATACGTTCTTGAATAAATCCAGAAAATGCTAGCATTGGTGTCATCGAAGATAGAAATGGGGCAAAAAGGAGTTTGGCAAAAAGGACCCTGTTGCTTATAGGAGGAATAAGAAAGGGGTAAAAAGGATATTTCATCGCTCTTCTCTCAGCTCCGGAGTTAGAAATGAATATTTTAATGCCTTCGGTGTCCTCCAGTAAATTTGGCAACAACAAAAGTATCCACCAGCAAATCACTTCATTTTTTATGTCCACCGATAAAGGGAGATCACTTTCATCGTCCAGAGCAAATTTTGCCTAATTCAAAATAGAGTGGGTACTAGGGATGTAATCTATGAATAACATGCTGAAGGTGCAGTGATTCTGTGTCTTTTCTGGTCACACGAGACTGACAGATCCCTTGAGACTTTTGTTGAGCGGGACATGGGATGTGATCTATCTAATGAACAACATTCCCGCTGTATCATGAGGGATACATATACGTCACTGGGCAACTGCTGCCGGCTGGGCTGGCTGCTCTTCCTCACAAGTTACTGTAGCCGACACCTAGGGCCAGCCAGCCGCAACAGCTGAGACCCAGCAGCCGAACACGGCGGCCAGATCGCCTCGCCGACCCTTACCTTACGCAGTTACTAGTTACTACGCCGCTGATCTGAAAATTCCACTAGTAATTCCCTGTGTGGGCCAACAATTACTACTGTCGAGAGCTACAGGCCGTCAGGCAGCTCTCGGTCAATTAATTACAGAGACCTCATCAACACAAAAATATCGCTCCGCTAGCTGCTGTATTTTCCAGGGTCAATCCACGTTGCATTGCCTTGCCCAGCTCCGAGGTTGTAATGGAGATCTCCCACGGGCCATGGCCGCCTGCCTCTTTATTAACCTCGGACAGTCAAAAGATGCTGCTCGATCCATCTCCCGACGATACACACCGAACAACCCCGTCAACAGTACTGTAGTAGTGTAGGCAGGGCATCAACGTCTCCAATAATAAAGGCAACACCGAACCCCTCGCGAAGCACGTGACGGTGATTTGGCTTCATTTTCTGGCCTGCTACTAGAGGAAGACACAACGATGAGACAGAGAGAGTGAGATCGTCCTGGCCTCTCATTCCCCCTCACAATTGCAAGGGCCATTAGGGAAAACCAAAAGCCCCCTCATACGTGTATGTATCATGAGGGATGCAAGTGGTTGCACTGATAACTGAGATACTAGTTCAGCTGTTTCGAAGGGTCTCTAATTCCTTTCAAAATGACTCTAATTCCTAGTTGTAATAAAGAATTACGTACGCTGTAGTTAGGAGCTGTGTTTTCCTCTCTATCTATCCGTAGATAAAGTTTCGCTCTGGCTCATTATCTAGATATTGTAGCATGGAGTTGGTTGTGATGGAGACAATGATCTAGTAGAAGCAAAGCAAAACTACTTGCATCTCAACGGACAAACAACAGAGATACTTGTACTAGGACGACTGTGGTTGCATTGGATGGTCACAAGTAGCTCTTCACGGGATCCCCCAGGCCGATCCGACGTCAACATACTAATAATTCCCTGTAAAGCATGTAGGGACTATAGTACTTGTCAAACACGTAGGTGGAATGGCTACTGAATAAATAACATAATAACATCTTAATCAGCTATACAGTAAACCACGGCCGGGCCAGACTTGTCAATGGCTTGGAGTGGAGGCCAAGCAGAGCTGGATTGACTCGCACTCGCGACCTGCGGCGGCTAGTGAGCGCCAGCAAAATTGTCCGGCATGGACGAACAAGAGGCGCCGCAAGGAGTGGACGGCCAATCATGTCCCCGCCAGCCTGCGTGTGCGTCCGACCGCCGTCGTCTATCTACGATTACACGTAGGTTATGCGCACGTGGCCGCGAGAGAAGGCGGTGCAAGTTTTTCTTCCCGAATCACACAGCCCACTTGCATGTACGCAGCCGCAGCTCCTCAACTCTATCCTGGGGGGAACGCGTCGTAGCTCGGACTCGGACGGTATTCGCTCCAGTGGAGGAGCAGCTGGTCGTCAGTTAAGCCTCGCCCGACTCACGTTTCCTGTCGGGTTTTTTCCCCAATATTTTTCGGCATATCATATGCTTTGTATAGATGGACCACAACTGTCATATCTCTTAGCCGTGTTCTTCAGAATCTAGATATAGGTTGTAAGTCTGTGTGTGCATATGGTGTAAGTTCAAATACTATGACTTGTATTCAAAGGTTAAGGCAATAAAAAAACTGAACTATCCTGTAGCTTTGAGCTCGGAGCCGATCGCTACTGCCACCGCCTCTGCCATCCCTCCCTGCCCTGTACCTCCACTCTCGTGTAGATGGAAACGGTAGCCTCGTTCGTTTGGCTGAAATTGGCTGAAAAAACAAGCTAAAGCTGAAATGTTGTAAGAGAAAAACACTGTTCCGACTGAAAAAAGAAGCCGAATAAGTCGACTTTTAAGGTAAGCCGAACGGGACCGGTGGTTTCTTTTACCGTTGGACACTAAACAGGAAAATTCAGTCAACATTTATTATATTCAGGAATGCTAAACAATAACCGAGTGTTTTAGCCGTCCCCAACAATCAATTTCGCTCTCCTGCACCCGCGCACGCTCGCCTACGCCCTTCTTCCCCAACTCTGGTGGCCGACGCTAGCCCCACCCCCTTCTTCTCCAGCTCCGTCCAATTTGTCTCTGGCAGTGGTGGGTTCCGGTGGCCCCGGCGCCGACGAGCTAGGCGGCCTCCTCATCCTCCTCCTGGATTTGTGCCCACCGGAGATGAAGACGACGACGGCGGTGGCTAGGGTTCTGGCGAGCCTCTCCTCCTCTTTCTTCTCCAACTCTGGCGGCTATAGAAGGGGTCGCCCGGGGGAGGGAGGCAGACTAGGCGGTTTAAGGGCCCTGACGGTGGTAGCGGCAACTGCAGTGGCGAAGCTAGAGCAAATTAGAGGGGTGTGCACATAGCTTGTGGGTGCATAAATATTTTCCATGGAGGGTGCATATATGGTGAAATTTTAGACCTAATCATTGTTTTTACAATGGGCGTCCGGGCTTGGTTGGGGCAGGGGAGCACGGCCATTTGCCGGAGTTGGAGAAGAAAGCAGTGGCGGGAGGCAAGAGAAGGGGAAGAGGGAGGCCGCCGCGGCACGGTAGGGCTTGGCCGGAGCTTCGCAGCTGCAAAGATGGAGCACCGGTCAAGCCCTACCGCGCTGCAACGGGCACTACTAAATTTTGACCCTGTTGCACCGGTCAATTTTTGATGTTATAGGTCTAAAATAGATGCAATAGTTCGGTTTCGCATTAATTTCTCGTTTGATGCCAGCCGATGCAAGTGGTCTTGATGCAATAGCCTTTCGCATTGGTTACTTGTGGTTGATGCGAGAAGCAGCTATTGCATCGTCCATCCGTTGTCTCTTGCATCAAAATTGAGAGATGCAATAGCTTATTGCATCCAAATCATGTTGATGCAATACATCTATTGCAACGGCTATCGTTCGATGCAATAGACTATATTGCATCCATATTAGGTTCGATGCTATATAATCTATTGCATCACCATTTTGATTC